GTTCGTCGAAAGCCTTATCGGCCTTCGTTTTGTCAAGAAATATCTCCTTAATCTTTTGGAGAAATTGTCTCAACGCCAGGGTCTTAGCCCAATCACTTATATTTTCGAAGCCTGCGGCATTGGCCTCGGACAATACCCACTCCTTGGCAACTCCTCCCAGACATGACGTGGAGAAAGCTACCTGGCTATCAGGCTCGACTGGAGTGGTGCTACAATAAGTCTGGATCTCTGCGATCCACAACAACATGTTCTCCTCCTTCTTGTTGTTATACATGAACGACAATTTCATTTTTATCTTTTTTTTCTTCTTTGTTTTTTCCGCTTCTTCTACGGGCTCTTCCTTTTTGGAAAGTTTTTCTTTCCTGTCGGTTGGTTCTTCTTTCTTCTTGGCCGGTTATTCGGACTCCTTCTTCGAGGGTACAGGTTTGTCCTCCTTCCGCATTGCATCTTTCATAATTTTCTCCTGGGGTGGTTTCCTATCTTCCCCCTTCGTCTCCTCCTCAACACTTACCTTATCCTTACCTTTCGTCAATCTCAACATAGTTTCCAATGAGACAGTGTTAGAATCTACTTTCTTCTCAAGATGAACAAGATAAGCCATAATAGATTGCAATACGGATGACGGGTCGGTCTCAACTTCCTCGAAGTGAAACTGCTCCCCCATTTCTTCCAACATCTTCTCTTGTTGTACTCTCTCTTCTTTCTTTCTTCCGAACTCTTCAAATTTTCTTCTCTCTTCCCTCAAGGTATTCTCTAATTGTCTGACATTTTCCTCCATTAGTTCTACAGACAGTTGTGGTTCCCTTTTCTTCTTTTGTCTCTTCTTGCTTTCCTTTTCGGCTCAATTCTTCCAACTGCTCGGCGACCTACCGGTCAAGAGCCATACGCCCTTGTTGAATGAGCTCCTCGACTTGCCGCCCGGTTTCCAGCATTTGAACACTAGTTTTCGCGGCCTCAAGTTCACCCTCTGTTGCTTGCAGGTTGAACTGTCCGTGAACGTATTATTCAGCTGCTGGTCCGGCATCGTGTATCTCACCAAGGAGCTGGCGAAGGAGGCCAACCAAAGTCTGCCTCCTTGCATCAATCTGTCCACGTGTCTTGAGATCCTCTACTTCTTCATCAGCGTAGACTATGAGAGGGATAGGAAAGAAGAGAAGTGGAATAAATCGTGTCAAGATGGAGGCACGCAGACATTTCTAGAGAGAGTTCATTTTGCCCATGTGTATTTACTGTACAATAAATAAAATTAAAGACAAAAATAAATTCCACAGTACACGCGTCTTCTGCAGCAACTTTACAGCCAGAAATTATCAAAAGAAACAAATTTCAAAGTCTTTCCTGAGTTCTAACTTTGTTGTCTATTCTTTGTGATGACACTCTACAACTACAGGTACCGCAGCCACGACCAGTGTGATCAAGACAACAGCACAAGTGTAAGTATGCACAACATCCGCAGACAACCAACAGGTAAGTAGAACCAACACATAACTCAATCAATGGTTAGCTCTCTTCTCAATCATCTGCAGCAGCAGTATAACCCAAGTGCACATTCACACCTTCAACAGTCCTTACGCATGCCACGTGTCACCCCTGGCCTGCCAACGCAGCAATTATGCGACGTCATCGTCAAGGACCGAAACGGTCTACAAAGAGGGATGCCACGTCACAATGCAGGTCTGCCTTACACCAATATACCACATCAGCACGTCAACAGCAAGCAGTAGTGACACAGGTACGTGCCACGTGCCCTGCATGCCACATATCAATGTGCCACATCAGCGGTACCAGTGCCACGTCAGCTTGTTGCCAACGCAGCTCTTCAATCTTCATCGTAGCCTCGTCATCATCTTCAAGGGATGGCTGCTCGCAAGTGCACTATTACCATGTCAAGACTTGCGGTATGACCGCGCGCATTAATTAACGCGTTTCATATTGCACATGCAGCACCTCCCCTTACCTGGGTGCCACGTCAGCACCGACAGCAGACAACAGATCGCGATGAAGAGATGCTCCGATACCAAATTGCAATGAACCCAGTCTGATAGGTATTCATAAGTCGTCAATCAACAATAGTTTCAATATCTGTCCGAAAGTCTCTAGATCGTGAAGTGATATCTCGATTAGTATCTCATTATCCAAAAAGAGAAGAGTGTGGAGGGGGAATAGACAAAGGAGAGGAGGAGAGAATACACAAAACCCTTCAGATCCCTCTCCTTCTCCAGGCTTCTTTCCACACTACATCATCAATGATAATAAGAATAATCATGGTCACATACAATAGTGCCACGTGGCACTTTATCCCATGAAGACCTTGAAGACACAACAGATTTCTAGTGACGATGTCAGCCACAGGTGAGTACACGACTCTCTACGTCCACAGATCCCGATCTTCCTCTTCCTCGCAACCAGTCACCTCATGTAGACAGCGTGGACAATGCCACGTCAGCAACCAAGACAGGTGGCATACGCCACTTCAACAATGTAGACCAATAGCAGCGCCACATATACCAGCAGCAGCGCCACATATACCAGAGGCAGCGCCACGTCAGCATGCGACGTAGACCAGAGGCAGCGCCACATCAGCATTGCCTGGCGCATTGAGAAAGCACCAGCATGCTGCCTCCCTTTCATGCCGTCGCCCGCAGCTCCTGTGCACAGCCAGCATGTAGCCAGCATCTCGCGAAAGTCGAGCCAGCGTCAAGACAGCATAGCAAGACTGAATGCTGACTTGCTCGAGGCCAGCCTTAAGTAGCAGTCGTTGAGGCTGTCTGGCCTCGGGTGCCTTTCCTCCAGCCGTCCAGATTGACTCACATCTCAAGGCCTGGATTGTACAGTTGCAGACTTCTCCCTTGGACCTGATGTTGTCTGGGTACCTGCATACAAACAAATGTGTGTGCTTGACCTGCGGCCTAGGCTAGGTACCTTTGGACTTTGACTGTTGGGTGGACCGACACACGCCTAGGCCCTGAAATCGTGAAGGGCTTTTTCTGCCCTTATTCGGCCTGGGCTGAGGGCGGCCAAGTAGGCCTTCTGATGGCCCTCAGTTCCACGAGACATATGGCATGGGCTTTTGCAAGTGCATGGTTTTGGGACACTAACAAGATGCTCTCAGAAGTAGGCACAATGCATCACTTTTCGCACATCTTCTTACTTTTTAGTCCAAAGCATCACATTGAGATGGCAATATAACGAGAGCATGGGTAGCAAACCGGATAGCCAAAAGCCTGGCAAAAGGCCAGTTTCATTGCTTTTTTCATGTCCTTACCAGGCAGTCCTAGCTCTCTGTTGTAGGAAAGAATCTGGCTAGAGCTTCAGGTTCCATCAATTGAAGATAACCGAAACGAACATATAACAATAACTGACAGGATTGCCTTGTGCGAGTTCACAAGCATCATCAAAAGCACTAATGTAGGAGAGAAAGGGAGGGGAGGATGAATAGGGCTAAGAGGACGCGATGGGTAGAATATATGGAACATAAGTTGGGGATGACTGAATGTGTAAGATGGAGGGAAGAGATGGAAAGGGATCTCTTGACAGAAGGACGGGTTGCATGAAGGGTTGGATGGATGAAGGGGTTGGCTTAGCACCATCCCGGCAAGCCTCAACCTCGTTGGAACCAACCACTTGGCCTCCTCAACACACACCGACCCACCCCAACCCACCCCAACCCACCCAGATTTCCTTCAACAGATCTAAACCGCTCCTCAGCATATGTGAGAAATCCATCCCATCTCCCCTTTAGATAAAAGCACTACTTGAGGACAATTGAAACCCCTTGGCAATCGCAAACCCCCCACCATTGCCGACTGTCTGGGAGAATGACTGAAAATGTGCGGAAAGAATCCCTAGCCCCCTACCAACCTGTGGATCTGGATTCTGGATTCCTCTCGCATGGCTGCCTGCCAGGAAAAGTAATTAAAAACTCGTCAAAAGGACTCGAGACTCGAGAGTTGAAAGTGAAAATCAACTATGCTGGTCCCCGGGCGGCCTGGCGGGGGAAGGTTGCCCGGGTACCCTTGCGGGCGGCCCAGGGTGGGCAGGGTCCGGGCAGGGTCCAGGGCAGTCCCAGCACATAACATTTTTTAAAAATAGACCATAAAAAAAATCAAAAAGATCCAGAAAAAAAAAATGGTGTATAAAATTGCAAAACAAACAACTTTTGGCTGACTGACTGAGGGGTTTAAGATAAAACATAAATGAGGAAACATGAGGTAACTCAGGTAAGATATAGTCTGATATACCCTTTTAAACCCCTCTAGTCACTGTTTATAACCCCCCAAACCCCCCTGGGTGACCCATCATCAAAGTGGAAGATAAGGCCAGATTATGACTGCTCAGGGCCAAGCACAGTCCTGGCTTGAAGTCAGTTTTTTTTCTTTTTCTTGGCATCCTTGCCTCTTTTTTGACCTGCCTGGTTTTGGTGGATGACCCCCCCTCCTCCTGCCCAGCTGGCACGGGACTGCACGACCAGGCAACGGCCCAGCATAGAAAACCACTACCTTTGTCCGCCTAATGTAAGGCCCCTTTCTTTTTTGCGGACCACTTCTCGATTTATGCATGTCATCCCCATTATTATAACCATACACAAACTTGTTCTGGTCCAAATACAATCATGATGGTGGGGCATTGTGTTCGGAGGAAGAAGGTAGCACCCTCCCATGCAGTGCACGCAGGTCCCTCTCAGGCAAAACACTCATAACCCTGTTCCGATAACTCATGGATTATCAGCAGTAAGTTGTGTAATGATACTATGATGATGATTTTGGGGAAATTGGTGTGTATTCAGGGACTGAGGACTTGATGGTGGGAGATCTCCTGGCTTTTACTGAGGCCCTGAGGGGCGCTGAAGGGTGTTCTCGGGGCTGCACTTCGCATAACAGGGCTCGGCGCACGAGGTCAATGGGAGACATGAAAAAGTGTTCTTCGTCTTCATAATTTTCGATGTTGAGATAGCTTGATTTTCATTTTAAGAACAAAAAAGAAGAGCTGAGGAAACTAACCATCATTTCCCCATCATATACCCGTCTTTCCCAATGTGAGCCAGCACTACCTTGGCCCCCACTGCCCTCCAGCTCAGCTCCATCTAGAGAAGGACAGTTGAAATGCATTCTGGCTGCCATCCGCACCTGTTTTCATGACAACAGAAAATGCTGTCACAAGTCACGAGAACTTATCTTTTATGATATGGAACCCCTTCTCTACTCCTGTTCCTCCTTTCCCTTCTTCTCTTCCTTTTTCGGAAAAAAATAAAAAATAAAAAAATAAAAAAACAGAACCTTATGGAAGTTATGGTTCTGGCTCCTTTTCCATTCTGGGGAGCAGCAGTCCGGTTCCTATTCCACCGGCAAGTCAAAGAAGTTACAATGGATGCTCACGCACGCTCCTCCCCCTTATGGCGTGGAGGCCCAAAGGACAACATTGATTGCTTCCCTGCAGAAGGATGTACCGTTCTTCACCCCTGCCTAAGTTAGCCTGATCTGTCTAATACCTGTCCTTGGTTACTATATTCGATGTTCTGGGTCTAGGTAACCAAGCCTTGCTTTTGTTGGTGTAGTTGGGGGCCCCCAGCTTGTTCCTCTCAGTCTTTTGACCGCCGGATTGTCCATGTATTCTAGAACTGCTGGTTTTATGCCCTGACTTGCTCCTTTCTAAAACCCTAAACCCTTTCTGGCTAGAATCTCGCTGTCCAATGCTGCGGCCCTGAAATCTAGCCTTTTCTTCGCGCTCTTCTGAGGGGATCTGTCGTTTTAAAACCTGACTTCTGGGTAGAGCTACTTCTCATTGTGAGGACTCGTGGTACGGGAGTGTAGTTTGGATTGTTGTCAGGGGCGGGACGGGTTTTGTGGTTGCGGAGTTTCTGCTATGCTGGGGGCGGGTTGTGGGGTATGAGAGAGGTTAGTGGTAGTACAGGAGTGGTTGGTCGGTTGAGTGTGTGTGGGGAAGGGAGTGGTAGGGGTGAGGTAGTGGGGGGGTCGCCGGCTATGTGTTTCATCGTGTTGCAGGTTAAAGTCTGCAGCGTTTTGGGAATTGGGGTTTACGACTGTTGGTGAGGGGGGTTGAGGAGATGGTAGGTGGTTGGTAGAGTTAATGCCTATTGTTGAGTGTGGATTCTTCCTGTTGTTATGCTATGTGGCAGTTTGGTTAGTCTGATAGACTTTGACAGGTGGAAACCCTATACCCTACTGTGTTGGTTCCTTGTCGTGCTGGTGCGAGATGTCTGAGGGGGGGTTGTTCTAATTAGGTTGAGGGGATGTAGAATTGTTGCTTGCCTAGGGTGTGTTTGGTTTGGCGACTTGGGTTGGCTTTAGGAGGAGCTCACTCGGATGTCTAGGGAGTCAGGTATGCTATTGACTGATCTTGGTTCTAAAGAATCTAAACTAATGATCTGTGTTGGGTCATCCCACATTAGGCCTACGCCTCTGATGAGAGTTTCTTACCCTTAGCTAGGCAAGTTTCCTCAAATTTTAATTGGAGTTCTCTTGCTTTCAGTTCAACTGATCTCATTTTTCTCTTGAACATAAAACCATTATTCCGTTTCTACTTGTTGTTTGAGAATACTCCATGCTTCCTGGGTGTGCATTTGGTTGTTTGTCTACTGTTTCCTGGCATCTTTTCCTCCAGATGGACCAGAGTGCTGCTTTCCATAGGATTTGGAAGAGGTTATTTTGTAGAGGGGGCCAATCTTCGGGAGTCGTAAATCCTAATCGAATAAGGATAGGGTTTGTTGCGAAGTCCGTATTGGTTATTGAGGTCCATATGTGTGATATTTTTTTTCCTTATGGGTTTAATCTTGGGGCACAGGAGGAAGCAGCGGAACAGGTTCTCCATTTGTCCTTCTACGCAGTTAGCACATAGTTCTTTTAGGGGGCTTCTCTCTCTCTCTCTCTCTCTCTCTCTCTCTCTCTCTCTCTCTCTCTCTCTCTCTCTCTCTCTCTCTCTCTCTCTCTCTCTCTCTCTC